TTTGTGACTGAAGCTCCTTCTGTGAAGATACAGCACCTAACTCTTCAAAGACCTGAGAAACAAAAATCATACCTCACTGTAGAAAAGCCTATGAGTGGACCTTTAAAGCTATCTCCCAGGGTTTCTTTAGAATTCATGGCAGATTATATTCCAGGACATATTTTTTAGTGCAAATTGCAACAAAGTTGATTTAAAACATGGACAGATGCAGTGAACCTGTACTAAGCCTCTACTTTCCCCCTAAACAGCAGCAGAACAGAAATATTCTAACAACCTGATCCTCCCTTCACAAAACTATCACAGTTTATCTCTAGATGGCAGTGAAGTTCTTTCAGTGACAGAGCTGCTTCCTTCCCCCACCTTCTTTCCATTTCTTCTGGAGACTCATTTTCAGCCATACTGCGCTATGATTTAACAAGGCTTTGATGCTGTAAGATGTTGGCGGGCACAAATCAGATTTTTTTTTTTTCTAAAAGGATAATATACTGCTTTTTCAAAGTCAATTAACACTTAGGGCAAATGAAATGGGGAGAGCTAAAGGTCAATTACTAAAGGATGGCCACAAAAACCTTTCTGGTTTATTCAGCGTTCATCCAGGGATTGCAGATCACTGGGAAAAGAAAGGAAATAGTAATTAGCTCATTTCATTTCTTGATGGTTACCAATAAGATGCTTTAATACAGTTTATCTGTTTTATTTTCAATCAAGTGTGACTGGTGCTAATAGTCATTTTGACCAGCCTGAGTCCGTGCTCTTTCAAGACGCTATGCAGTCATCGTAGTCACTGGGAAACCGTTGTGGCAATTAATGCATCAGAGAGATACTGGCATTAAAATTTCAGGTCGGGAATGTTCTTAATGAGCTTTGTGTAAAAGAAATATTGTAGCTGGGCTGTCCAGTCTTTAAACAAACAAGGAGATGAGAGAGACTAAGAACAAGTGCCATTCTTACTGTCATTCATCGTCCGGGTTAAAACAAGCAGGTAAGCTGATGCTTAGCCTTTGGAGAAGTGTGGTGTTGACTCACTGGCTTACCTACTGCTGGCTTTGTATGTCATGACTGTGGTGCTGTTCTGCAGGTGACCTGGTACGGTTGTAAAGATTTAATCAGACTCAGCTCCAGTGCCATCATGGCCTTCGTGTTCCTCATGTCAGTCACTGACATCAGTGAGGCAATGCTCCGAAGCAAAAGCGATATCTGAATTCTTTTGAGATGTCTGCCTTGTTTGGAAAAGGCAGATTCCTGTCAAAAGAGCAGAAAGCTCGAAGGTAGCTTTAACAAAACTAATAGAAAGACAAAATTCAAGGACCATCCATAACAAAATGGGGTAGCAGATTACTGTCTGGTAAGTTTAATGGTGAGCATACGTGAAAATGGCCAGATTTGACTTGAATCTGTGCTTTCCGCTTGCCTTTTGCGAGTCGAACAGCTTTCCAGGCAAGACTCGCACTTAAGATTGCAGTCACAGTTCATTTCTATCTTTTTTAAAAATAACTCTGCTGAGTTTAATAACCTTTTCCTTTTTGAATAAGAAGTTTCTGTTTGCAGTCACATGAAAAGAAAAAAAGGCCAGTGCTACAGGCAGCAGGAGATTATTTCATGCCTACCTACTCAAAGAGGGTTTTACAAGAGCACAAGGGCCAGGGAAAGCACATAATGAGCAAACTCTTGTGAGGTAAATTATTATTTGGGATTTTGAATGGGTCCTTAACGTGTGGGGGAAACCGTACCGCCAAATAGCTGTGTGTGGCACTTGACTTTTCAGCTAAGTAGTGACTTATCAGATAGCTGTCATCCCTTGCCTCATTTCACTGTCTGTGACAGCAGGGAAAGGAGGAAAAAAAAAAGTGCTGGGCATAGAAGTCATTCTCTGTTATATGCTGCTGTGTCAGAGAGACAAAGGTTTTTCTAGCCATAGATGTGTGTGTAGTGCACTAATTGTCTGCCCCCACCTATGCACAGCCAGCAATCTGTCCTTTTGGCTTGAAAAGCACAGTAGTTAGGCTCAGGAGCAATATGCACCCAGGCACAGTGCTTAATTTGTTTCCTTGAGTTAAAAAGGAAGGGAGGATCAATTGTGGAACTGCAGGGCATACCCTGCTTTAAGGATATATGTAGACTTGAGCCATAGCACCAACCATAGTGTGGTGACGCTTAAGGTAACTGGAGAGCTCGGAGGCTGTGGGTATATTTGCATTGCACAATTTGTTCAGAAATGAATGACTTTTCTTAAAAACATGGTAGCTGTGTCAGCGTAGTGTTTTCTGCAGACTGGTCCTTGCTGAAGGGTCTTTCTGGTACTCATCCAGGGACCTGTAGCATATAGCACTACATTGGTAGTTTGTCTGTGCTAGCAAAGTTCTTGCCCAACATTGTGGGCAGATTTTAGAGTGCATGCAGAGCTATGTAAGGTGTGGGGTTGTGCTCTGCTTGCCTTTTACTCTGATGTTCACGTTTCTCTGCGTATATCCAATTATTTTCCCACAGATTTTGTTGAATTACGAAGCATAGCATTCAGAAAACTTGGAGTTGTGAATGTCCAGAACAGCTGAGCGTGTTCGGTGAACACGTCCACATCAGCTGTGCTGTTTGTACAGCTGATCTTACTGTGTTGTGTGGCTTATTGCAAGGGTCAGCCTCTGTTCACGTGTGGTGTGCATTTCTTTGTATATGATAAACTGCTCTACTAAAGCTATTTCATGTTTGTTGCTGTAATGACCCTAAAAGAATTTTGGGGTTCACTCCTTAGAATGTGAGCCATTTTGCTATGGTATCTGCTTTATTAGCCACATATTGGAGAGGAAGATGTTCCACTAGACTATGTCTGTTGTGACTCGTCCAGGGAGAAACATTCCCACACAGTCAGCATAGTAGATTTTCTTCCCTCTCTGCCTTTTTTTGGACATTTATTTTGTTCTCCTTTGAATGTGATCTTTGCTATTCTACTTAAAATAAAATACAATAAAGGAAATTTAGATGTTTTGGTTTTCTTCACAGCATCGAAATGCTAAGCTAGTGAGAACAGCTGTTCTGTATTTCAGCAAAATAAGGAAATGCAGAAATGAACAACAGTAGAAAATAAATAAATAAATAAATGGAGTGATCAAAAACAGTCCCTAAAGCTTTGTTTGTGCATACTGTCTTTGCATCTGAGCCAGCATCCATAGAAATCAATGATACCTTCTTTTCTTTGTTGTTGATAGAAGCAGCTTCAAGCAGAATTGCCAAAGTATGTTAGAGTAGTCTCAGAGTGTGTTAGGTTTTAGGGAATCTACTCCCCCACCACTTTATATACTGTGCACTCCTCTGTTTAGCAATGGAGTAAGCACGTGAGAAAAGTATATATTGCAAGATTTTCAATTGTTAGTTTTTAATGTATGGGTCCAGCAAATATTTTAAAAATATATTTTTAATACATCTTTAGTTAAATGATACAAAGAAAAAATATAGATGAATTATAGTTCTTTTCTGCAATAGTAAAACTCTTTCAAAAATACAAAATCTTTCTTCATGAGCTGATGTCATGGTTTGTTTGAAGCAATCTAATTCTGCTGAATACAAAACAGGACAGCATGTGACAACTGCCACGTGAGATTCCTCGTGGTCCTATTTGTGAACCACTCAGATCAGTCAGAAGTTTTAAAAAGCACACATTTTTGTTCTGGAACACAAATGATCAGGTAGCTGGAGAGAAGTCATTTATGAGAAAAGATTAAAGCCTCCCTATAATCATTCAGTAATGCATTTGCACTCTTCACTGCTTTGATTGCTGTCGATAGTGCTGTCAGAGCTACTAACATATGTTTGCTGTGGATATTCCCAGTATTCCAGCATTTCTTGTGGATTGTAAGGAGAGTAACAAAAGTGAATTTAAAACAAGTGAATTGACATTTAATGGCTCTTGATAGAGAGGTGTTGCTGAGACAAGGCTTACTAATTCATCTGCTCTTCTGGGTGGTAGATACTGTTTTAATTTTCATTCATGCTATAAAATAAATTTAACTTTTCTTTCCTGACTTTCTTAGAATCTGTTCACTTATACCTCTTGCTTAGTAAAAATAGGGTTTTTCTTACTGGAAATGATTTTCTGAGTCTTTTGTTAGGCACCGGGCTGATGTGACAAGGTCAATAGGAATTAAAAAATGCAGATAATTAGTATCTCTCTCATTTATCCTTTGCATAGGTAACGGAATAGCTCAATTTTCAAGTACCTTCTGGAATGAAAAAAAGCAAACCTATGGCACTGAGATAATGCATTGATATCATCTTTCTGTCAACTTGGAGCTAGAAGGGAGAAGTCTTAGGGTGTTACACATCACATGGGAACACAATAGGTTTTATCAAGACTCAGAATATTCACTTGCTTTCCCAGTGTCTCTTTCTTTTTCACACCCTGAAGTTGTAGGTGTACCTATAGGATGCTGATGTAACACATCTTTGAGGGAGTAGGCAGAGAACATAGAAGACCAAAGATGGCAGGAGCATTTGTGAAGCATCAGTGTTAGAAAGCTTACGACAATCTCCATTGCTTGGACAGATCTACAAGAAAGCAGAAAACTTTCAACATTTATCCTTTTCAAGCTCTTTTGCGGTCCAACCTGGAAAGGAAGAGGCTGTGATACAGACCTTCACCAATGAGGAATTTAGCTGAAATATTTTGTCAGTCTCATTTGATGCAACTGCCAACAGATTGTGATTATCTGTACAACATTTGAATGCTAAAGGGGCACTAAAGATCCTTATACTAAACTGTTAAATACTTTTTGAGGAAATATAAGCTGCTTTGATTCGAGCTGTTACCAGGAATTTTTCTCACCTAGGTAGAAACAAAGTCTTGATATATCATGTATTTGTCCTCTGTATGGGAACAGTTGAGTCACTGCCTGAGCCACTGATTGATAACCTGAGGCAAGGGCTGAGTCAGCCCTGGGAGTACAGGTGGAGGCTGTAGACCCCCATTTAAGGGCTGACTGGCACTGGGGAAGGGTCTCTTTCTGGAGATCCCTCCTCTGTGGAGTCTTTCCTGTGCACCTGGATCTTTGGATACAGGTGAGCATTCCTTCTCTGCTTGTTTCTTTCTTCCATTTGCACCACGATGATCTTTCATCTTTCCAGCTGTAACACCAACTGTAACAGTCCTGTAACCAAGAAATTCTTAAAATATTGTATGCAATTCCTGGGGTATGTATATTACATACAGCATGAAAAGAATTTTAAGTAAGGTTCATAATCATATCTTTCTTGTCAAGAGGATACATGTAGATTTTCTGAGAGTGTGATATTATGTTCTTGCGGTGATGAAGAAGTGGTCAGTGGCCTTATTTCTTGAATCACTTAAGAAAATCTGTGAGACAACTCGTTTGTGTTACTCTTGGGTGTTTCATACTTCATCATGTGATTCTAAATCTGTTTTATTTTAAGGGAGGAGTTTATTTTTTTTTCTTATTTGTGTACTGTAGGGATGACGTGCAAGGGAATATAGAGTGTCAGAATGCGTTCAGATCCATCATTTCAATAATTCCTTCTGCAACAATGGTTTAATTAGAGGAGTATTCTTTTAGTAAGGGCTTTTGTATATTTTTTAATGAAATTGAAGAGCATGAAATGTGGTTTCCCTGATTTTAAATGAAGCCACTTTTAGAGAAATAAAATGAGAAATGAAGAAATTGTTGAAGTCACAGTGCATGAAATTAAGAGAACCCTGACTATATTGGCAACAGTTTTTTCTTTAGTATTTTGATGACCATAGAGCTAAATAGTTGTGGGCTAATTGCTAAGAGATTTTCTTGTTTTGATTCATTGGCCTTTGACAGTTATATTGGCTTACATTCATTTGAGCAATTCATGATCCCCATCCTGCAGTTTCCTTGAGGCTGGTGGAGCCTTGTGCTACTGTAGAACTTGACAGAGTCTTCGCAGAAGACCCACAGCCTTCTGTGTATGGAAAATACTTTTGCAGGCAGATACATTAAAATCAATAAGAGATTGCATGAACCCTTCCCTTGAGTTTTCTTGACTACGGAGAGCTCCTGAATCAGAGCTATTAGTGGGATTTTTAAGTTCAATGTAGTTGCAAGTTCCTAGTTGTCGATGGAAATACCTGATCTCATGCACTGAGACTTGTGAGTTAAGCTTGTCTAAGGGCAAAAACGATCCAGCCAGTCGCTCAACCCACCTTCTCAGCAGAGTGAAGAGAAAGAAGGATGAGAAAGCTATGAGTAGAGATGAAGACAGGGAACTTGCTTGACGATGAGGGTTATGGGCAAAACATACTCATTTTAAGGAAAATGAATATACTGCAAATTAAAATAAATCATGGTAGCAAAATACAAAGACTAAAACAAAGACTGTTTCCCCTTGCTCTCCCCTCCCCCCTCACTCAACTGCATTTCTATACTCCCAATTCCTCTATCTAGCATTGAGCAGCTCAGGTGAATGAGAGGATACAATCAGTAGTTTCTTTGCAGCTTCTCTCTCACATCTCTTCCCTGCTCCATCATGGTCCTCTCCACAGACTACGAGATAATCTGTTTCAGTGCCTGGTACACCACTTCCCTCTCCTTCCTCACTGACCTTACAGTTTCCAGTGCAGCTTCTCACTCTTTATTCTTTGGTTTCCCAGTCTTCTTTTTACTTTTTCTTAAACACTCATGGGGGCCAGCAGCTTGGCTGATGGGCTCAGCTGTGTCCTACAGCGGTTCCAATGGAGCTAACTGTGCCCAGCACAGCTTAGATCCTTGTCTTTTCTCTCACAGGTCATACCTGCAGCCATTCATTGCCTCCCCCTGAGTAATAGCCCTCCTGTGCAGTGCAGGGAAGTATGTGGTTTATTCTGGCCTTCAAAGAAAGGGCATAGGATGATACATAGTTGTAACAAATGTGCTGATCGTAGTACTGGAGCAATGGTTTTAGGGATGCTCTACTTTCAGAGAAAAATCATTGGATCATTAACATATTTAGACTGCATATTAGCCCCTGTTTTTCTAAATTGTTCCTTAAACAATAATCAATCCCTTAACAATTACTGCAGGTCTGTTGGGGTCAAATTTTCAATTAATTTTCTTTAGAGCAGTCCCTTTTCAGTAAGTAACTTCAATATAAGGAATGTGAAGAACATGACTGTAATTTTGAGTAATAGATCTGTCCACTGATTAAATATTAGATTGACCTGTGTGCTCCCAGCTGAAATGTTATCTTTTCTGGTAGTCCGGACCTGCTCTGTAACCTGTAAATGTCCCATGGGAAGGATGTTTGGAAATGGGCCTGTGCTCTTTGTAAGTGTTCCCCCTTGAAGAAATGCTGTTCGTTCTGCAGCAAGTTGATATTTCTGTTTAAAAGCAAGATCCCTTTTCAATGATAAAGAATTCCTTTGTTTTTGTTCTGGGCCTGGTCAAGTGGGCTTGAGCAATAATGTTCTATGGGACGCTTCTTTTTCCTGAAAAATACAACTTCACCTAAATCCAAGTTTAACAGAAACTTGCCATTTTTAATAATGAAAAATTCTAACAGCAAACACTCAATTAAACCTTTATTTAGATGTTTGGTAATAGAAATCAATGCAGCATGTGTGAGAAAATGCTTAAAACCACCTGGGCAGGTACATGCAGGCTGTGGTCAGCTGGTGTGCTGCAAGAAGTATTGCAGTTTATCTACTTCTTATCTGCTCTCCTTTCTGCCGATAAGTCATGACAAACCCACAAGCCAGAGAGTACCCTCAATATCATCTACTTCACTTTTCTGGAGTTTCTGGATTTGCTGTATGAGATTATATTTCATTTGGAGTCAGTGTAAGAAAGCTTGCCATCTCCAAACGCTCAGAAGCCTGGCCTATGTTGTTTTAGGGGGCAAATGAAAAAAAAAAACATTTCACGATGAGATTAGAGTGGGAATCTGTGAGTAACGTTAATAATTTAGCAGAGAAGAGTATTATTTGGGCGTGTGTGTCTGTGTGCAGAGACTAAATGGCAAATCACTAACCCCTGTCAAAAACATTGTGTTTTGTTTTTTTTTTCCCCCTGGTCTTAGAAATTAATCATCAGTTCATATAACTGAGAAATGATGGGGGATCAGAAGTACCGTTGCATGACAATGGAAATAACTGTTTGCAGTTTTCAGGAGATGATTGCCAGTTTGCAGGATTTGGACTGTGCGCAAACTGTTACTTGCTATCTCTAATTGAAGATGTGTTATTTGTGGGCAGAGTTGCCTTGACACTTAGAAACTTGAGTGGAATACAAAGCCAATAAAATGGGCTCAAGTTGGCCTTGAAAGTGATTAACTAGCTCATACTGTGATATTCCTATTATTGCTAGGAATTCCACAGGTTGCTAAATTTACTGTTGCCTGTACAGATGCTAGTTACACAGTAAGAGGTGTTGAAGCAGAAATGCAGAAAGACTTTGGTTTCTAAAAGAAAAATCTTTTGTTTTGGAGACTAAAGCAAATACAAAGGGTAATTTTTAAATGACAGCGTCTGTGAAATTTTTCTTAATAAAATTCATCCTAGAGCAGAAACAAATGTTCCAGAGGTATTATTATTTAAAACTTGACACTCATTAGACTAGGAAGCCTTTATGCATGCAGGAGAGTTTCATCCTGTATGGATGCAATTGAGGCATCTCTTATGCCTGTTCTTAAGGTGAGGCGAAATCTGCTTGCTTTTTGTCTTAAGCTGACGGTGAAGCGGTACTCCATTTTATTGCAACTATGCTTTGGTACATATGCTGCTGCTAGGTGAACATTAGATTAATGTATTTGCTGTAGATATTTAATAAAAATAATGTCAAATTATGTATTGTTGCTAGCTTTATTCAAAATGATGCAAAAAGCACAACTAGATTAGAGTAACTATTATTACTTTTTTTTTTTAGCACTATTTTTTTGGTGGGTGTAGAGATTTACAGCAGGGCTGCTGCATACAGAATATAAAGAATAGAGCAAACACATTAGAAGCCATTAATACTCTCTCCTAGAGAGCTGACTCGGTTTTCTTCTCTTTGTTTGAGAAAAGCAGGAGACCAGCTGGGATTTATGACCTCACCTATATTTTCAAGCAGCATTTTTTGAGAAGTGAATGTGATGTTGTTAGAGATCATAAAACAATACAGATTTCTTAGGGATTCTAGAATACACTGTGCAATGACAATGTGTTTCCTCACTATAATCTTGAGATGTACATTGCTTCTTTAATCATCTTGTCTGTCCGCTTTTAAAAAGGGATAGAAATTGATGTAAGTATAGCAGGTTCATAAGGAATAATAACATCTGACTGTTTGCTCATCACAAGCGTTTCAGTCTGATTGTACTTAGGAATGAATGAGCTTCATTCATGCCTCCTCTTAAGTAAATTTACATGTATGAATTGTGTCAGGATTAAGGCAGGAGCGGACTTATGCTCTGGATGTCTGTTGAAGTGCCTGGTGCACCAGGACTTCAGCGACTAAGCTGTCAATGGATATTATCATTAAAACCTGGAGACTAGAAAGCCTCAGAGAACACAGTTACATTTTCTAAGATTAAATTTGTCTCCTTTACCTGAACTGGCTTGCACCATACTCTTTGTTATCCCCTAATTTCTTAGTTTGCTCAGAGTAAGATTATCTGAAGTGTGAGTAGCCCTAAGGGTAAGGATATGTTATTATTACGACCCTTGATGCCTGCCCAAAATGCTGCTGCTTTTTTTTTTTGGTTCAGTTCAGGAAAGAAGTGCAAATTTCTAGTGCAGAGTACCTTACTTTGTCGGTTTGTGAACACATCTTTGTGTTTATTATGTCTAAGTAAAAAGAGAAGTCATTGCAATATTATTGTGCATTTCAGAAGACTATTTAAAATGTTCAATAGCCTTGCAATGTATATGTCAGTATATTACATACATTCATATTGCAGTATCTTAATGGAAGTAGAGATGCTCTCCTCTCAATTGAAAGGTTGCTAGGAGAGACAGCTGCTGGCTGCACAAAGAACTTTATTTTATAAAGTGAAAATGCAGCAGCAAATGGTATTCCAGCCTCTCACAGAAGAACCATGCATGTTATTGGGCTGCCTACTGTAAAATAAAAAAACTGATTTTCTGTGACTGTATGCATTTCACAAGGAAAATTTAACATTCTCATTGTATTAATCTAGATGATGTTTATTTAAATGAGGAATAATTTTAAGTAATAGATAATCAACTCTTTATTTATTTTTCTTTCGTATTCCGTCTTTTTCATCAAGTAATATTAATCATTTCAGAAAATGGCAGTGGTATTTTTGAAGAAAAAATAACCTAAAAAATGAAGAAAAAGTTATTTGGAGCAACAGTTCTGTTGCACACACAATCTGATTTTGTCAGTGTTTGCAAGTGGGGATGACTGACTATTAAAGAACAAGAACCACGGGCTTACTCTTCATTGTTCCTACCCAGAGATACAGCCTTGAATTTGATCTCCTGTCTGTGTGCAGCCTGGGTGGGATGTTTAAAGACCTTTTCATTTACCTTTATCTGCTCTGTTGGTTTAAGGTCAATCTTTACTGGATTTAGTTGAATAAGAAGCCTCTGAGAGTGGTTGGTAAGCCTGATGTCTTTGTACAACAACAGCATTCATGAAAACAAACCAGCAAACAAATGATAAAAACTAAAAAGAAAAACAACAAAACAGCCAGCCAAAAACTAAAAACTCTAAATGAATTAAATCTGTTTATTGTAAGTAAGATTTCATTAAGCAATTTCTACTGACATCCTCACACATGAGGATGGTAGGACTTAATCTTCAGTTGACAAGGTTTTTGTGCAGCTGTAGGTTTACAATGTGGCATACTCATCAAATATGAGTGACTTCTATCAAGTAAATAATGATTGTAACAGCTTTCTAGGCTACGGACCTATGGTGCAAAATCATTACTTTATCTAGACTTTCATGTTCATGTGACCCTTTCCAAGGAAGGACAGATCGAGAAGTACCTGTAACACCTTTGGATGAAATAGATTCTGAAAAAAAAAATAAGAAAAAATTGTTATGAGGAGAAGAGAAAGAAAGAAGACCATCTGTCACCAGATAGGATTTGCTTCACTTACATCTGAGAGAAAACTTTGGCTTTTTGGAGGTAAGAATTAATCATATGCTACTTCCTTCCCATTCTATTTGAAACAGAAGAACAGCCCTTTCATTTCTGAATGTGGCAGACCTTCAGTTAGGTATACACTTCTTTAGCTTCTTTGAAAAATAGCTTGTTTAACTAAGAGGTTTGTCTGGATGTTATTTTTCAGAAGTGACAGTAGGTTCTTAGAAGCTTTTTGCTCAGAGTTGTTTGGGACTTGTTGACGTTAAAAAAAAATGAAGCTGAAAAGTATCAGTCACTTTTTCATCATTCTTAGGCTGTTTGTAGTAGTGCTTTATATGTATACTATGTTAGACATCAGCTGATGCCTAATACAGCAAGTTATAAAGCTAGTCTGTACCATCTTACCCTGGCTTTATAGATTCAGCAGATTAGTTATAACTTATGTCACGTGCACACTGAACCTTTAAGTGAAAGTAAATTTCAGATTCAGAAAAAAAACAAAACAAAACAAAACAAAAAAAAAAAAAAAAAAAAAAAAACAACAGGCTAGTAATTAGAACCCAACTTTCCTTGCATTGACAGCAGATGAGTCATTTATTAAGTCAATGTACCACAGTAACAGAGCAACATCACACTTGATTGAAATCTTGGCCAAGTCTGACAGATGTTTTCAACTCATTGTCAATCTCAAGTATGCTTTAATGAGTTTCAAGTGGCTGGAGCTCCCCTCTGCAGATGCCACTGTTACTGAGACCGTGAAAAGAATCTTTAGGGCAGTGACAGCATGGAAAATTCCTTTGAGTAAATGGTATATCAGAAGAAATCATGACTAGCAACACAAGTGCAGTTCCTGAGAATGATCTTTGCATTTTGAATCTGATGATTTGGTGCAAAATTTTAGTTTAAGTGAATATCCCAAGTAAAGATGAAATTTTGAAAGGGAGCATTTTTTTAAGGATTACATATAAATCCTATTTCCAAGTAACTGCTGATAACTGCTATTTCTGCTTATGCTTCTAGGTCTGCTTGGGAGTCTGAAGAACAAAAGCACATCAGAATAAAACCCACAACAAACATTTATTTCAATATTTTTATACTGGGATGAGCAGAAAGGATGGTGACTGTTAAATTTGAAAACTTCAGACTGGATCAAGTGCAAAGATGCTGACTGAAGCAGTGACTGAAAGCTTTGCCTGTTTTGATGACTCTGAATAAAGTCTCTGAATAAAAAAAAAAACCATATATCACATTGTTTTTGCTGATATTAAAACAATCTAAAGCAGTTTTTCGGACTCAATATGTGTAGAGTGATAATATGTAGAAATTCATAAGGAAATTGTGCATATAGAAAGACTTGAAATTAGATTATGGGTCCCAAAATATAGCAAAGAGTACTCAAATTTATCAAGAGATTAATTTTAAATCCTCAAGTAACTAGAATTTGTAAGTGCAAAAAATCTAATTTATGATATTATGATATTTATTATTCTACACAGGTGGTTTAACATACACCTTCTGTTGAAATACCTATGAAAGCAAGAGCTTCTTTATAATGAAAAGATTTATTTGGCATAAGTAAGTGGCAAAAGGTTCACATTTTATATAGCTTTTGCACTGGCATCTGAATTTCATTTATGGAAGAAATGTGTTGAAAGTATTGTTTCTGAATCATGAATCTAGAATTCTATCTATGGTAGGGTCTAATGACTGCATCTGTTCAGAAGAATTCCTTAATCTCTAAAAGCTGCATGGAAAACAACAAGCAATACTGATTTTGTGCTAACTGCAGCTCGTTTTTATTCTTTCAGAAAGGTGGAATTATGTGCTCCAATCCAGTGTCGCTGGAACTCATACCTTTATCACACTGAGGTACGTGTTAAAATTGAGCCTTAAAGCAGCCTGTACAAGAATTCTCTGATATTTGTAAAAACAAGTGAGCCATCACAATTTGTGAAAGCTGTTGTTCAAACTGGCAGCTCCTGGGATCTGGCCATTTTGCTGTTGCTTATGTTAAGCTTGTTGAAAGCTGCCTTTGAATTTTCTTCTTCCAGCTTTACTGTTTTCATATGGTATACGCTGCGCATTGAGGGAACATGAGAATGAATAGTTTATGAACAGAGGTACTGCTGAAATCAGGGATAACTCCTTGCAGCCATCTGCAATGGAGTACAGAAATGAATGCTTATGTGGTTGCGAGTTTGGAGATAAGAAGACAAAGTAGTCTGAAATAGGCTTGTTTGGAGCAATTTTCTGCGTGTAATTGTCTAACATAATGTATGAAATGAGGCAAGTATGTATGTGCCTGTTCCACTTTCCAGGCTGTGGCTATCAGGCCAGACTTCAGAACTGGAAAATGTTCTGGCCGTGCACCAAACCAAAGATATGCTGACATTTTGTTGTAATTAGTAATGCCACTCTTTGTTAATCACAACCTGTTAAAATCAAATACGCAGGTTATCACCTACTTAAACTTCATCCCAAAGAACAAAGAACCACACTTTAAATCTGTTCCAGTTTGCATAATAAGAAGCATTATTAACTTGCATTTTTACCACTTTAATTCATTGACAGGATATTCTTGTTCAGCCACTGTGAAAGTAGATCTCTGAGAAACTCAGCATTAGAAATTTGGATTCATGTTTTCACTGGAATAAATCATACTTTGGGTTTCAGCTTGTGAGGAAAATCAGGCATTTGCTTGAGAAGGCTTTGGTGGCTTTCAAACACGTATGCGATTAGTAGTGGTGTATCACCAGCTGGAACTACTTAAGCTGGAGGGCACTTCAGATTCTTCCCCTTTCCATCTGTAATTGGCAAGTGTATTTTCTGCCTACAATCAATTGCTTTTATATTCTGAGTAATATCCCTAAGTAAGAACAAATATTACAGCAGCTACAGAAGCTATTGATTGTAGGCAGAAAATGCCCTTTCTAAATGCCACTCGAGATGACTGATGTATGAAGAAAATCTGTGACATCATTAACGTGGCCAATAAACTTGTCACTTGGCAAACCAAGGAATGAACACAAGTAAATGTGATTTTCTATGAGTCATGGCATACAGACAAGGGAAGGATCAAACGAGAGTGTCATGTGAAAAGACCAACATATTGAGGAAAAGAAAAAAAAGGCAAATAAATGCAGTGGATATACTGCGTAGAAAGCATCAGAGGTCCTGTTGTTTTTTGTTTTTCCTTTTTTTTTTTTTTCTTTTTTCTTTTTTTTTTTCCTGTTAGTTAGAAAAGACACTGGAACGGCAAATACAACTTTCAGTGTCCTGGAGGCCAACAAATGGCTGTCGGTTTTCTTGCAGCTCTTGCACAAATGTGTGTTATGGCACAGTTCTAGAAGATGTGTTTTCAGTCAAAGTATTCACCTAGAGTGCTGTCATCACGCAAAAATACAAAGAGTATAGGATTTGGATGGATGTTTTTGTTCAGCATGTATTTAAGTTATGATGTTGCATTCTTGACGAACTTTCTGAATGCTATAATTTGTGTCTTCAATGATCCTTTCTAATAATTGATCATTTTCACTACTAAGTTGTGTTCTGTGAAAGATGGGGAGATGAGAACTGGAAGAAATTATTTTCAGGTTTTTTGGTTCTAAAACATGAGCTTGAGGTAAATGTTACTTCCTAAACTGAGGCACCGGGCTAGGGATATTAACTTTTGCGATGACTGATCCATTCTTACAAATTACAGAAATCTCAGATGAAACTTTGTGATGGCAGGGAAAGCTGAGATAAGTTAGAGCTGCAAGTTCTTGAGAACAGCAAAGCTCAAAACCTAGATTTTAAACTGTCTTACTTATCTGGAAGTCTGCTTACCAGTAAGTACACAAAAATGGTGGATTAGCATCTCCCATGTCAGTGGTTGACTGTCTGCATTTTGAAGTGTTTGGCACATATGCTGTATCTTCTGCTCCACTCCTTGTTTCTGTAGTATTTTAGGATCATAACAGAAGACTGCCCTTGCACCCTATTCTCTATGTTTAATAGCTGCTCCTCGTTGAATTAGGAAGATAAAAAAGAACTAATGTGTATTCCTTCCCTTCAGGTGAAACTACTCACAGTGGAAATTTTATGAGCGTTAAATAGGAAAAGAAATAGACTGGTAATATTCAATGTGAGTCAACCTCTGAAAGAGTGAAAGAATGAATTGTGAATTGTTCCTGTGTCATATTAACAAATCTCCCTGAGGTGAGTTGCTGGCAAAGTTATGTTTCCTTCATTATCTGAGTTCTAGTTACTTATGCATTTTATAAGATGGTTTTCAGTATTGCAAGGTGAGTAGTTTTTCCTGTTGTGCTTTGTACATCTGCCTTACAAACCTTAAAACAACATCAACAAAAACAATAAAAACAACAAAAAGCAGTCCATGAGTAAATGGCATAATATCGTGTGTACTTTTTAACCATACTGAAATAAATTCACTGAGAAAATCAATTCATTTTTAAAATCATTGTAAGGTCACTGGGATTTCCAAGTTTGATACATCGCTGGAGGTCTGTCTGCACTGCTGCTGTCAGAGAGCACTAGTCTTTTTACTGCAAGAGTATTATGTCTTAACAAACTACCTACAGAAGTCACGGAAATAGGCCAGCCATTCTATCCCAAACCAGCTTGAAATAGTGCTTGTACAAGGCCTTTTTGGGTGGAAGAGCTAACTGGAGGCTGAAGGGGCTGCTTGTTCCTCCTCATAGAATGTGTAGCTAGGGTCACAAAGCTGTGGATTAGTGCAGTTGCCCTGTTGATACATTCCTTCTAATGTGCAGTGCCCTGGTGGCTGGACATAATATTGTTTTCAATGGGAATCACTGTGATCTCTTCTCTAGTTGACTGTATCTTTGTCATCTTAAATTTTCAGTTTTTCTCTTGTTTTGATGTATCAGCTTCCAGCATTATCAACGCTCTTGTTCTCAAAGTTTTGTTAAATTAAATGTCAAGAGGTGATGACTCATGCTTCACTGGTACCATCTTTCACTTTATCATGCAAAATATACATTTTTGACTACACCATTCTTTTCTGTAGTACTTCGGTACGTAGAGACACTTTAGGATTTCTAAGAGTTCAAGGTGAGTTCAAACCTTCTCTACTTCCCTGTAAAGAAACCACACACAGCAAACATACCTTAAACTCTTGCCCTGTAAGCTGCAGACTATTGCCAGATGGTTGCATTTGTGATGTAAAACTAAACTTCACAAAAAATTCTGATGCTATATCTGTGTTAGTATCATCTCTTTGAATGGCGAATGTGGAATTTCTACTTAGCATAGTTTGCACAGGCGGCACTAGAGTGTTGGCATAAGAAATATGGTAAACCCAGGAGCAAAGAAGTGTCATTTTGTGATCCATAAATTCCAATGGGACTCTTGTTTGAGTAACCAGGTAGAGTTAGCAGAATCAGGTGGCTGCTTTTCTCGCTTCTCAGACTCAGCATGCTTGCTGCTGTGCTAAGCAAACATCTTGCCCTCTAATCAGCTGACCATTTCAGGTTTATTCTAGTTCTTAATCTGAAGCTGTATTTAAGAAATCATGAATTACTGAATTACATCAATTAGAAAAGGATGGGTTTAGGCGTCTCTCTAAAACTCCTTTCCACTTTCCCATAGGTGGCTGTACTAAAACAAGATGAATGTGTTTAACCTTTATTTAATAGCTTGACTAGTTTGGAATTGAGAAAGTATTCCAACTTAGGAAACAAAGTCCCTAGACAGAAAAGAGTCTCAAAATGCTGAGTGGTAAGAAAGTAAAATCTTTTAGCTCTAAGTAATAGTTTATTTGGAATGAAATAAGTAACTCAGTAAGGTAAGAACCTGCTCATGACATTTATTGCACCACAACCTGTGTTTGAAGTAGACGCCTGATGAGATTAGAATATGCGACCATCTTGCATGTGTAGATATTAAAGCTAAGAATTAATGATGCTTCATAAACTCAGTGGAGAGGAGCTTCAGTGTGCTGTACTGAAAAGCCTTCATTTGATAGTTGAAAATGGAACAGCTGAAGATCTTAAAAAAAATTACTACAGGCTTTATCTTGCAGGCTTTTGTGAAAAGGTGACATGAAAGACAGCAGATGGATTTATCTTTTCACTTAGAAGCAAAACTACAAATGAGCTTCATATAAACAGATCTCTAAGCCAAATATAGCTTGACAGTAATTCCATAGGATTCATCAAGTCAAGGGAGGTGATTATGTGTGATGCCATGAAATAATGTGAAAGTAGGGTATCTCATATGATTTCAGTATTTCAAACCTGAGTTCATTAAATACAACTTTTTGATGAGAATTCTATCCTGCGCTGCAACAGTTCTCATCTTCATGTATTCTTTAAAATGATTAGTAGATCTTATTTATAACTTTCAAATTCTAATTTCCAGTAATCTTAAGCATTACTGAAACACTTCCTAGACTGCAGATAGTACGGTGACTTCTGACTACTGTAAAATGGTGAAAGTGAGTTTTAAGCTTTTAAAACAGTTATCTGAAGATCAGTCTAACAGGTACGTTTTACATATCTTACTCAGGCTGTCGATATCATAGTGGCTTCAGCTACAAAAAACCCAGGCAAAACACATTGTTGAAAAATATATCACGATGATGAACTGAAGTCTTGCTTCCTTCTTTTAGTAGCACCCAAAGATGGGTCTGTACTGCCATGGAATAAACTGAGACACTTCCTTAATTTATTGTAGTGTCACATAAATTTATAAAAGGCAAATTTTGTAGCAATTACTTCTGTAAAATGTACTTAAAATGTTCTACTTACCTCAACTACTAAATCATGGATAACCAACCTTTTGGCTTGCTTGGGCCATACTGAGTGAAGAGGAATAGTCACATTCGTGTCAACTGAAAAAGGAGTCATGAATATGCAAAAAAAAATTGAGGACCTTTTTTGGAAATCTTGAAGCCTGCTATCATTTCTTTTATCAAAAATGGAACCAATATCATGCCTGAACATGCAGAGTTGGTGAGTTGTTCTGCAAAATTTCATTTTCACAAACAGACAGCATGTAGAGAAGGCTTGTGCACAAGAGTAGTGAGCAAGCCAAAGAAAGAGCTGGCACTATAGCTTTCAGGAATTAAACTGTTTGGGTTCACAGACACAGCAATCTTGTATGTTTGCCCAGCTACAAGAGCTCTACCAGACATGTGAAAATTGGGTTGTGCTGATATTCTATTGCCAAATAGTGGTTGTCCAACTTCAGGCTAAAGACTGAATTAACAAGAAAGAAAAAGATGCCAAAGTTCTCTGCCAAGTTATATGTAATTACACTGATCTCAAGCAGAATAATCCGTTCCCTAGTTGCACTGAAGAATAAAAATCCACAAGTTCTATAATGAGTATGAAATTTGTGAGCAAACGAGTAAGATTAGTGATGCCGGCAGTGTTTAATGGAAGAAAATGATGAACAACAATCTTTCTTAGTGAACTTCTTTCCCACTGGCAGAAGAAGTTAGGTGTGTTTTTTAAGGGTGGATTTAAAGCATATTTCTCTGAGCAGGTTTCCAAATCAGGCTCTTAGGGAGATGGTATTTTTTTGAAGAGGATATCTCAGGTTAAATGTCTGACTGCATTGTTAGGCTCTTAATTAGAGTTCTCTTCTATACGGGCTCTAGGGTGATGGTAGAAGTCACTCTGCAGGGAGCTCTGTGTAAAGCTAGCTGTAAGTACCTCAATTTTCAGGCTTCGCTTCTGTGAAGGAAGACCTGAGTAATATGGAATAGATTAAATCTGGTGAGCTCTGTTTAGAAGGCTTCTAGGGACCTTTTAAAAAGTGTTATAAAATGCTGGTGAAGAGCACGAGTAAACAAAGTATGAGAAAGAATATAGATTTCTTTGAACTCTTCTGTATCCATTTACTGCTTGCCAACTGGATTGTTTTAATGGCTTTATTTAGGAGTTATTCCTAAGGTAATAGCAAAATGGTTGCAGGATGCCTCCTTAGTCTACCAGAAAGATCTGTACTAGTGTTTCTGCTGTTGGGTTCAATTAAAAAAAAATAAATGTTCAGAGTGTAATAATGCTCCAGTCATTGTGGGTTTATAGATCGGGTACAAGAGCGGCCTTCATACTTTTGAGATGCTATTTCCTTAAAAGAGCGTTCCCTTATGTGCGTTGCCTGGGCTCTAGAAACCCTTCAGTGGCAGTCCTGAGGTATCTGTATTAAACTTGTTCATTCAAGAGCTGTTCTTAGGTCTCCCCAGAGCCTTCTCTTATCCGTGCTGAACAGCCTCAGCGTTCTCAGCCCGTCCAGGCTATGGAGCTGTTCCCTCCCTTGGATCATTTTTGTGTATCTCTGGACACGCTCCAACTCTATGTCTCTAACATAAAAATTTTAATGTTAGAAGTTTGGTCAATTTTCTTTCCTTAATGTTTGGAGAATTTCAGTCATTATAATGCAGCAGACAATTATCTGTAGGTTTGCTAGTAATAAGTACTAATTTTTATTCCAGGTAAAACACTAGCAGTCCATGTTGCTTCACAGAGCAAATCCTCTTCCTTGCTTCTCCTTTCTCTAAGGAGATTTTAGTGGTGATGTCTGTAAGGTTTCCTTTACAATAGGTTTCCCAAATAACAGAACAGCATCAGTTTTACAGAAATAATAAAGTTACCTGCAGAACAAGAGACTAATTTCTTTGGTAGTGTTTGTGAAGTGGTCTTATTTAGTTAAAACTCACTGAAGAAGTCTGTCTTGGAGTTAATGAGGATTTTAGCTTCCTCATATTTTATTTCTATACTCTCTCAGGTGTGCAGACTCTCCGGCTCTTCTCGTTTCAGGAAAACAACCCATTACCTATGCAGATCTGAAGTGAAATCAAGAGCTAGTCAGTTTACTGTGTAGAGAAATCAAGTAAATGAAGACTTGTGGGCAAGGATATTATTTTATAATACAAAACGTTTAGCTAAGTCACTCTAATATTTTCCATGCTTGTACTGGAGAGTGAGCTGATCCAGTGAACTTAGGTGTATGTTTGTAATTGCTTCCAGATGTCTCTTCTGTGTTGTTTTAAGATGGTACAGAAGATTGATTCAAATGCTAACAGCTAATGAAGTCTTGAGTGAAGGACCTTCAGTTAGTACTTTCAGGCAAGATTGGGAAATACTTTAAGCATGAACTCAAATTTAGCAAGTATACTTAGTAAAGCAATTTTTGTTGCACTGTATTCGTAGTACAACTTAGAGAAGTATTGCTACACATTTAAAAAAAATACCTTCAAAAGTACTTGCAAACAGAGGACAAGATTTGCCACTTTGAGAATGTTTGAGAACCAAGTGAGTAACAGATGATCTCTGGTAGAGATTGTAAGAGTGTAATTAATGATGTAATGTGCTGAAACGAATCCATATGACAGGCTGCAAATACATTCACAAAACTTTTGCGAATGATTCTTGTTTGGATCAATGCATTAACTACTTTTTTTTTTTAATGCCACCTAAACAATTGACTTAGTTCTCAAGAGCATAAGGATTCTTATGAATCTCATGTCATAACAAATAATAATTTTCTGGAGGTAAAAGATGGTGATCGTTAGTTAAGTCTTTAAAACTTCATGAATTCCAAATCATACATGCAATAAATGAGTGTTGGTAGTAGGCAGTGAGTTCTTGGTATCTGAATCTGTTATCCAGGAATTATATTGCCCTAGATCTTTGCTGGATTATAAATGACACGTTTACTTCAATACTACCTCAGAGTATTTTGTGACTGAAAAGATAAACAATTTTGTCAATAGTAAATTGTCCTGTACTTTATTGATCTCTTAATAACATACAGTTGTAAAACAGGTAATAAACCATGGCAATAACTTGTTTCCCCTAAGCAATAGAGAGACCAGATTTTGAAGAGTAGTGATTCTTTTGTATCAGGGAGTGGATTACTTTCCTTTATTTTATTTTATTTCTTAAATTCTCATGCATTTCTCCAGTTGCCATGGAAGAATAGGCTCCCATTTATCCATTGCCTGCAGTGCTCTGTTAATAGAGAAGTCAGAAAGTATGCTTGCCATTGGTTTATTATGTTGTGTAAAAGTAGCTGGTGACAGCATGCTCAGCTGCTGCTGAAAATGACATTTCTGACTGTTTGTGACAGCCTGAGTACCTGACTACTTAAACAGTATTGAAAGACATTGTGAGTTGCTGTGTGTGTGTGTGTGTGTATATATATATTCGTATCTTAAAAATTGTAATTCCACCTTTATTTATAGTTGTTGAACTCAAAGCATTTATTAAAACATACAGAAAGGATGCTGAAAACACACAAGTCTCCTTTCCAGCTCATTATGGTTCTGCTGATTGCTAATTGCACTTCACAATTTCACACTGTTTGCTTGAGAGATATGGTTTTCTATATTGTTCTATAGAGTTTTCATAAAGTTACCTTTTTTCATTACTATTTTTTTGTACTTCAAAGCCTGCATGTTGAAGTCTGAATTGAATTCCAAGTGTGATAAAAGGACATATGCTGAGCAGGATGGAATGAGAAATGTCACTCAGTTTTGTGTGAATGCCAGTATTCAAGTAAAGTCACCTTCTTGATTTTGCCTAGCTGAATGCATAGTGTTAAATAAAAAGAAAAGAAAATTTTAATTAAAACTTGTGAAGAATATTCAGAGATAGTTACTAGAATTAGAATACATCAGTTAAACCTACTATGAATCTGGTTAGCAGATGTGTTTCTTTAAGATAATTCTCTGCTTTCTTTTGACCTACTATAAACATATCTAGAAAGTGGTCTACTCTGATGCGTTAAGATTGCTTTGGAAAAGACAGAAGCCAATTTAATCAGCATAAAAGAAACAGAATGCTGTAGAAAGTATAACACAAGATAGTAGCTTTAAAGTATCTAGTTTTGTTCCTTTAGCATCTCCCTTGAAGTATTACATAGCTTAAAAAAATCAATCAACTTATGTCTCTGGGGAAATCAACGTGTGGAAAGTAGATGACAATGAAATGTGTAAACTGACAGATATTTTTACTCAGCAGAGGGTTATAGAGCGAGAAGGCACAAGAGCTTGAAAAGAAACCAGCATGTCTCCTTCCCCATGTGATGTTATGAAGGAAAGTAGGATAATTTTCAAGTGTCCTACAGTGCTAACTGTATGATACATCATAACAGATTGAGATGACAATTTACATTCGGCGGAGCCACTGCATGACAACGCTGCATGTAATTCTCTGCCTATTCTAGGAGCAGGTAGTGCAAAAATGAGATGGCTAGGTGTCTAAATCACATAAATGACTGTTTTGTCTGTCACTGTTATAGATAACAGCCAATAAGAACAAATAAAATAAATTACCTGAAATTGAATTTTAAATCAAATAACTTAATATTTCTGTATTTCTACCGATGGCATTTATTAAGAAAGCTCCGGTAACAACGTGCGGCAACTTACTGAAGCATGTTTTCACAGCAGTACAGTGGAGAATGTCTTGCATTAGTTCCATTACTGCTCCCAGAATTTCAGGCATTATTCTGTACCCATTAGTTTGGCAATTTCACCCCGTAGCGCCTCAAACATTTGAGGAACAGAAGGATGTCTGGTAACCATAACCTGAGAAATGAGAACTAACAAAACCAAGCGTCCAGCTGCAAGACAGCTTTCTCTAAATAAAAAGGCTATTGTGTGTGCCTGCTCAAGCACAGGAATCTCTATCCCTTGAATAGGATCGATTTGAGTGGGTTCTTTTTTTAATAGGGTATGCGCTACACAGAGAAATTAAATTTTAATTCCATTTCAGAGACTTTGTATGCTGGATAACAGGTAGAAATTAAATGAAAGGCTTTAAAAAGTTCTGAACTCTAAAAGAAGTGGAAAAGTTGGAGAAAAAAGTGATTGATTTTCTATGTTTAATATATCCACCTGACTTGTTTCGCTTATAACAGAAGTAAAAATTAACGTAAAAAGAACCTTAGGAATGTGCAAATTTAACATCTGGAACTGAAAAGCAGCTCAGCAGATGTTAGCTGCAAGTACTCATTCAATCCCACTGAACTCTACTAAGTTAGTGATAGACTTAATGCTTTTTAGTGTCCTTTACAGACAAAGGCCGAAAGTATCTGCCTTTTTTTTGTTCCGTTTAGGATCTGTTTTTCCTAAAATAATAAAGTTAGGGTGAAAGTTTTGATCTGTTTGATCTTCTATTACTGTTGCTTTCAGTAGTGCTTTAAGACTTTACAGCTTGCAAAGATAATTATTTGGGTATTTTTGAATCTTTTATATCACAATATGAATTTATGAAACTCTCATAGCAAAAAATTTCCAAAGCAAAAGCAAAATGCTTTGCTATTGGAAAAGCTTCATCAGTCAGTCTCTTGTCTGCATATGGCATCATGCCTCCACGCAAGGGAAAGATTTGTTACTGAGTTGTATGTGGAAGGCTGTGTGTATAAATTCAAATGAATTTACTTGTAAGTCAATGGCTGTGTTTTTGTAGCTGTGCCTTGAATTTTTCAGGCTAGTGTCTGATAGTTTGTTCTGAATATGATTTTAGCTTAACTAAAACTGTGATTAAAGCCCATTTCAGTTTTGCCAAGCTGGTTGCTTGGCAAAGCATCAGTGTAATATCAGCAGCTATTGCACATAAAGTAGCCTGTTTTAAGTCAGTGCTATACAGTGGGTCTTATTCAGCATTGGCTTAGCAGTCATTTACTCATTGGAAGTGCACCCAGATTTATGCTGCCTCATTATTTTAAGAGAGAACTGCAGGCAGGGCTTTGTAGCATGTAACCATGGAAGCACAGCTAGTGAGCAGCATCTCACTAGACTGAACCATGCAAACATATTTTTTTCCCCTAGGAGAAATTCACTAAATGTGGTTGATTTTTCAAGTCCAGCTGTTTCATTTAAGGAAACTGTGTGCATCTCAACAGCATTCAGATTCCATGTAATTGATCTGTTCGATTTGAGAAAGAATCTTGTTCTTATATGCAGTCTCCTAAATTAAACTTTGGTCTTTGTGGGAAAAGATATGGAGGGATACGTTTGGAGAGCAGTAGCCTGTGGTCTACATTTTATTGAAATGTGACGAAGAGCAGAGGGATAAAAGACTTCAGCTACTATATGACTGTTGTTATCTGTGTAATTGAAACGTGCTTAAGTTTGAAAGTATGACTGCTGTACAAAATGAGAAACTTGTGAAGGATTAGGTTTTTACACAGATTAATTTCTAATTACCAGTATGATTAGGTAATAACCAATGGTTTTGGATTAAATGGCAATATAATTATTTTAGTAATTTTAAACAATATGTTCATTGAGAAACATTAAGAACGGTATTGCCATGGTTTTAGTCACCGTTTTCAAGTTATGATACAGTCAGAGAGAACTTAAGACAGAACTCTATTTTAAAGATTTTATTTTTTTTTTTAATTACTTTGATACGGGTTAAAATTTTATCAATTACTGCATAATGGCAATTGTTTGGTGTATCCCTGTGGTGATGGGTGATGTCTGCTTGTTACTTTGCAAGCAGTTTGCTGGGCCATTTCGCATATTGCTCCCTCTATTGAAACATTTTCTGTCTATGGCTAATTGTCCTCGTCTTACGATGACAGAACTGAAAAATAAACATAAATAAATAATATATAAATATATATATTATTATAATGTATAATATATTTATATAAATTTATATAAATAAATCATAATAATGATGCAGTGGTACTTAATGACACAGCAATGATCTGAAGCCGTTGTAAGTGTGCACCCCAATTAGATGCTTCTAGGAAGACAGGGATGCCTAGATGTAGTGCACCAAAGTCTTGGGAGTAATAGAAGTACATGTTTAATCATAGATTCCTAATCAGTTTTTCCTTAGGTATGTGACTTGATGACATGAAACCTATCCAGGCCTTCTATCTTCTGCAATATGTGTCATTTTTCTGGTGATCCCCTAATTAAAGGGACTGGCAAGAGGCTATCTCTTATCATTTTGTCCATGTTGATGCCCTCTGAGTTAAGAGGGAGAAACATGAAGCTGTTTGTTTTTATTTTATTCACTGAGGGGAAATGCTTCTACAGTGTTTATAATGATACCATTTATTTTGCAAGGCAATATGTTTCCACACACAGTGGTAGTTCTAATAATAATGTTCTTTACTAAGCGATATAGGAAGTAAGATTGTCAGCCCAGAAAAATGCTAGCAGTAGTTTCCTTTCAAAACAGAACAGGTTTATTCAGGTTAAATTTTGCTAAGTGGTAACCACAGAACAATGGGCAAAGCTGAAAGCCATGAAAACTTGCAATACAACTTACCTCTCACTAGGAAAAATTGTCAGGAGATCCTAAAAATACATTCTTGTTCTTCCCGCTGCCAGTTTTGCTCTTCCGGATTTCAACTGAAAATTCAGATGTGGCAAAGTACTCTGAATGCCAACTAGCAGGATGCATGTTTTCTGACAATCTCTAGGTGTGTCGTGGGTCACAGCATTAGAGTTTGTGCACACACTCATTTCAGATACCTCTCCCTCAGTTGGTCTGGTATACGTGACAGCTTAGTATTGCTTGACTTTTCTGATGATGCTGTAGGAATCTCACTGTTTTCAGAACACCACTTGTGAAGCAGGTTTTATACTGGAGGTTTCTGCTGGAGCTCTAATGCTGATGAAAGCAAAGAAGTGAAATTAATGTGTCTTCTGTCTTCTGCCTTTGCTCTCTCTCTGCAAAGTTAACCGTGGTTTCAACTTGTTAGCAGTGTTCCCTGGTACTTGCTGTCACTGCAGAGACCTTTCTGCTGCAGACTGGAGGTGGTGCATGGTATGCTGGCTGTGGCCTTTTGCAGTGGGTTGCATGTGCACACAATTACAGTGGCTCACAAATGAGGACAGTGCTGCTAGAATATTTCATTTTTGCTATTAAATGTGTCCAGTGGTACACTGCTTTCCCCTAGTTACTTCTACTAGGGTATAGCTTGCAGGATTTGGTGCTGTAGCTCCGTTGTCCTTGTGAGTATTAGCAGTGTATTGAAATACTCAATTACTGTAAAAAGTAGAGTTTGGGTGTGAGGAATACTCAGTGTGATCATAAAATTTGTTAGACTTACTAACGAAACAGACCTTATAAAGTTGTTTGTAAGTAGGTATTTTGAAGAATGTCATTATAAGCGCTGGTCTCTTGCTGTAGGCTTTTATGCAGTCAGCTGAACTGTTGATAAAGCAAGCTATCAAAGTTATGAAAAGACAAAGGTATTAGGTGGCATTTAGGCACTCAGTTAAATAAAATAATGGAATATCCTTTAGTATGTGGGAAGTTGGCGAAAGAGAAAGCTTTAAAAGAGCTAAGTAAGGACTTAGTGAAAAGGTAAGAAAAAATCTGATGTTAAAACAATGTCATTGTTTTATCAGAAAGTTTGTTAATATTTCTTTTGGAATGCTTTGACTTGAAAGGACGTTCATTAGAGGACATGGTAGGA